AACATGTGGTTAGACTAAAACATCAAGAGAAAAGAAAGTAGGGCGCACTTTCTTCTCAATAGATTTAAATAAAAATGTATTTCATTTGAATCTGATGTGACGATTTCCGTTAATTCATCTTAAAACACTAAGCGTACATTTAGTGATATAGATGATAGACTTATTTTTTTTTACTTTACTTTTGTTACAGGCAGAATGTTCTTAAAGTTTTCCAGAATTTTAAAATGTAACATATTTATAATGTCAGTGAAAAGAATAAAACAAAATTAATGGAAATCAATAAATTGTTATAAAAACGTAAATTTACTTTTAATTTTACAATGCTCAAAATAAAACTTGAATCATGCTATCGGTATTTTGAGATTTGTTTGTGCTCTGGTCAGAATGAGGGCGTATGTTTTAGAGCTTACATGTGTACCTATTTAATTAGGTGGTAGGTCCTACGTACATTTGTACCTCATTTAACTACATGGTAGGTCCTACGTACATTTGTACCTCATTTAACTACATGGTAGGTCCTACGTACATTTGTACCTCATTTAACTACATGGTAGGTCCTACGTACATTTGTACCTCATTTAACTACATGGTAGGTCCTACGTACATTTGTACCTCATTTAACTACATGGTAGGTCCTACGTACATTTGTACCTCATTTAACTACATGGTAGGTCCTACGTACATTTGTACCTATTTAACTAGATGGTACTACGTACATTTGTATAAATAGATCCTACCATCAACCAGGGCTACCTTAAGCAAGGCTGAAAGAAACTCGCCCTAACACATCTTATAAATAACTGGGGGTAGCCAACCGTCTGACGCGGCACCAGGAGCGTTTATCGATCCAGACAGGACCTCATGACACCCCCCGTACTGCCCCCCGTCGCTACGCTGTTTTTCCACAGGCCAGCTTCTCGCTCCACCCCCTTGCCGTCCCTACCTCCTCCCCCGACTTGATCGAGAGAAGCCAGGATTCGCGGAACTTGAAGGGCGTCTACTGAACGGCACGTGCCTCCGATGCCCCAGCGACGCTCGCTTCTAGGGCTTCCGCGCTACGGAACTCAAATAGACGTGCATCGTCTTGGACGCGGATTCCGCTGGGAGTTTGCCGGCTTCCCTATCTTTACCCAATCATCGTTCCGCGATTGGTTTCTACTTCTTGTTTTTCTTTTACCATTTTAATAACTACCCGACACTTCTTCTATTTTCCTTGAACGTCGTTCTCCGGGTGTTCCCCCCCTCTCTCTCTCGTCCTCACGCCAATATCGAAAAGTAATGAACAGTTTCTCGCTACAGTTGACAGAGTGTTCTCCCCTTCCGACTTCCGCTTTGCGTTACCAAGGCAACGAAATAGAAGAAAATACAGCGGTTTCTTTATAAAAAAAAAAGGTGGAAATACAAGAAAAAAAAAGTGGAATAAAAAATTCTTTATTTGTATCGGGCAAAGTTGTGAGTGATGTCGAAGCCGTAGTTGCACGGAGAGAGCGTTTGAACCTGTGTCCGGGATGGAGGGTGACAAATTTGAAGGGAAGCGACTCCGATTTCCATCGAATCAACACCACTCTTAAAGTGACTGATATTTAAAGACCACAGGCTAGGCACCACCATGACAATTACCAGCAGAATTATATTTTCGTCTTGTTCTAATCACAGGATAATCCACAAACTCCAGGTAAGTTGAAGAAATTATTAAATTAAATAATCTTTAATCCATGTAAACCTGTTACAAAAACAATGCTATTTTCAGAAACCAATAACTAATATTTTATACTGCGTGTTTTCAAATATTAATAATAATCAGTCCCTTGTTTTTCAAATCTTAGTAAAAATATAATCAAACATGTCTGAGGTAATAAAGAAAAAAAGATATAGACCTAATCAAACAAATTTAAATTGATGAAAAACTTAACATTTAGTCTTCAAGTTAACAAACTGCAATTTACTTACTCATATATTACTAACCTAATAACCTGTATGACATTTTAATTGGTGTTAAGAATAGCAGTAATGTTATAGACACAACTAAAATCTTTCTGAATAATATCTATTCTAATCAAAATATCACCTTCTAGACATTGTGTTTGTAGGCTAATATAGAAACTAATTCTAATGTGTTTACTGTGTTTATAAAGGCAAAGTTAAAAGATATTTTTTTTAAAAATTAATGTAATGTTTTAAGATGTTCATATAGGCCTACATTTAAGAAGAAAAGTTTTTATGTAACTTTGAAGAGGTTTCTCCTTTTTATAACTGGTTCTAACATGTTCAACTTTACAAAAACAAACAATAAATAATCACCATGTAGAAAAAACTAGTTTCTTAAGATAAGACGGATATTTAAAAGCAATTAGATAAATGCCGAATATTATGAAAATTTATAAAAATGCGTCTGTATTTTCTAATCAAATCCATATTTACTAAAATGTTGTTTACCTATATTCTACTATCATTTTGAAGCTTAATTTTTATTTTTAAAACGTAAAATACCATTTCGAAGATTATGATTCAGCGGGCAGGTGAAGTAAATTTACCTGTTTTAGTTACCTTGGCATCTAAAGGGATGATTTGGCCCAGCCGCTTTTACTATCCGTAACGTGAGTAAGGCATTCGTCAAAGCTAGGTGGACTCAGGGACGCCCCAAAGACTCGAACTGGTTATCCTAACTGGAGACTATAGAGTTAGTAGTCGAACCGCTACTGTTCGACCTCGTCGTCCCTTTTATGTTTTTATTTTGATAGTGGTTTTACAATCAGTATTTCAACAAGTACGGCTTTTTATTTTAAAATATAATAAGAACATATTCAATATTTTAAAAAAAAATTAAGTACAAATAGGCAATTCAGTTTTTACCAATGTTTAAAATGAGCTCTTCTAATTAATAAATTAACATTTAATTTTTATACAATAATTTGATTTTAATTAAATTAAATAATACACGTCTTTCAGCAGCGGATTTAATGTGACTTAACGCTTTTTATTCTTAATTTTTTTTTCGTATTTCTATTCGTGATGTCTTGCACTTGCAAGTTTTGGAAGGTGAGAAAAGCGTTTATTATAGAACAACTGCAATGTTTTATTATAGAACAACTGTAATCTTTTATTATTCAACAACCTTAATGTTTGATTATAGAGAATTAAAAAAAAAAAATTTATTAAGAAAAATGTCCTTAAACAAAGGTTAGAAAACGGGTTTTTTTGGTGTAAGAGGAATGAAAAACTTTAAATAATTAAGCTTTTTTTTTTCAAAAATGTATTCTTTTCTTTACTTTTTCATCATTATTCTATTAGCTGCTTTCACTGGTTGAAGTATGGTATCGCTGGATAAATGTAACGGTTTCCCAATGATACCATTTTCTTTAGATCCTTTACGCAATTTATTTATTTTTATGCGGCGGTCACAACAGAAGAATAATTCGCTTTTAAGTTAAAACAGTTTTAAAACAGTGAGTAGCAATTTTATACATGCTCCTGAAATCATTATGGTAGCGCAAATAGGGACTGCACATGTCGTTTTGAAAGCGTTTGGTCAATCTGGAAACAATAGAGAGAAAGTGAAGCGGAAACAGCTTAAACAATCACTTACTATAGAGTCGGCCGTTCTTTATATTTAATTTAGAACATTTGCAGACCGCTTTTATGGCTATTGCTCATAAATACTTTGTAGAAATTTACAAGTAATTATAAAGCAATTTTCATTGGTTTCATCCATAAATATTATCACAATAAAAAGCCCATGTATACACTTCTCTCTCTGTAGTGAGTTTTTCTTTCACATTTTCCGATGCTAAGAAACTGTGTCTTCAACAATATAATTTATGTAGAACTTAAAGATAAATATTTTTGTTTAGAAACATTTGTTGGTTATATTGAATGTTTAAACATAATTCTATTTAAAGACAGTAATTAAAGTAAAGACATATTTTAAAGTAAAAACACCCATTTCATTAATCAAACGTAAAATTAATGCTTTAGTTTTTAACACCACAGGACATAGATCTCATTAAAATAAACCTGGCGTTCTATTCAAACAGATCTTCAAGAAATATTACTATTGTAAATCTGTATCAGTCCTCACAAGCCGATGATGAAAACTGTAATACTAAAGCGAACACACAACTGACGCTGTAAATTACATGTCTGAGGCGGAAAAAAAAATAAAAAAAAAGATCTTCAAAATCGAGAATATGAAGACAATAATGAAGCGGACAGTCAAATGATACTTTTGTCGGCCAAATAAATAATACACAATCGTTATTAGTTTTATTTAAATTAACTAAGGCACTGAATCAGTTTGAGCATTCGATAAGGGGCTTTTTTTCATATTGGTATTTCTTCTGAGATCGCAGTAACGCATGACAGATACGCTAGTAAAATAATAATACTCGGAAGAAAAATCGACACAATACACGATAACATTTAATAAACGTAATCATTTGGAATTGGCAGCAAACTTCTAATTCGGCTTATGATTATGATATATGCAGTAGCGTAGCGAGGGGGGGGGGGGCGGGGGCGGGGGGGGGGGACATATGTCCCCGGGCGCCGACCTTAGGGGGCGCCAAAATGGGTTGGAAAAATAAATTGAAAGGTTGAGGGGGGTGCAAATCGAAAGTTTGTTGAGGGGGGGGTGCAAATCGAAATCTTGAGGGGGGGGGGGTGCAAATCGAAAGTTTGAGGGGGGTGCATATCGACATCTTGAGGGGGGTGCAAATCGAAAAGTTTGTCCCCGGGCGCCGGGAAGGGTCGCTACGCCTCTGAATATATGAAAGTAATTGCAGAATGTTATACTATTTGTCCCAAATTGTATTAGGTACTGATCAAAGTTGGGTAGACTGAGTGGGGCTCTAGGCACTCGAGTAGGACATCGAACTCAAGGCATTCGCGTTTAAAATAGGCTGTCTCTAGTGGTCAGCTAAAATACGTCGTTATTAGTATAAGCGCGTTAATGATCCAACTTGACCACACCCACTAACCCTCCCACCCCTCACAGGCTAGAAATGGACTCGCCCTACACATCTAGCTCCAACATCGACGTGTGGAGGACAGGTTTAGAGGAGAACTCACCCCCACCCAATATTTTGTTCGATCTCACCCCACGTGACCACGGCGAATCCAACATGACGTCACTGGGGTTAGGACCACTGGAACTGGAGCAGCTGCCGAATTTCTTCTCTCTGCCCTCCTGCCCACCTTACAAGTACGGCCACATTGGTGACAGGTAGGTGACTTAAGCAATAGTCAGGTGTTTAGTGTCGGGGGGGGGGGGGGGGGGCACTGCATGCATGGTGACAGGTAGGTGACTTAAGCAATAGTCAGGTGTTTAGTGTCGGGGGGGGGGGGGGGCACTGCATGCATGGTGACAGGTAGGTGACTTAAGCAATAGTCAGGTGTTTAGTGTCGGGGGGGGGGGGGGGCACTGCATGCATGGTGATCATATGTGAGGGAGAGGGGGAGGTTACCCCAAATAAGTGAGGTAATGAGGTGATTAATGTGTGGGTGGTGATCCAGCATGTTTGTTGTGATTAAGTGTGGGGAGATGGCCCATCATATGATGTGTGATTGATGTATGAATACTACGTTGATCCAGTATGTATAGGATGTGATGTGTAGGTACAGTGAATGGAGAATTGGACAGATGTTTGAGTACAGTAAGTCAGTCATGTGTGAGATTGTGTGGATAACGGTGAAGGACCTAGAGATGAGGTGGTAAGGTTGGACGGAATGTGTGGGGAGATCATCTTGTGATGTGTGATTGATGTGTGAATACATTGATCCAGATTGTGTGGATAACGGTACAGGACCTAGAGCTGAGGTGTTAAGGTTGTACGGAATGTGTGGGGAGATCATCATATGATGTGTGATTGATGTGTGAATACATTGATCCAGATTGTGTGGATAACGGTACTGGACCCAGAGCTGAGGTGTTATGATTGTACGGAATGTGTGGGGAGATGTGTGATGTGTGATTGATGTGTGAATACATTGATCCAGATTGTGTGAATAACGGTACAGGACCTAGAGCTGAAGTGTTAAGGTTGGACGGAATGTGTGGGTCCGGTAATGTGTGATAGCCGTTTACAATACACCGTCCGTTCTAAATATAAACGCATTTGTTTACGTGTGTGTAACATGTAATCTAGGTAACGTGTGAAGAGAAATTAGACACCTATCATAAACTCTAGAGCAGTAGGTTCCAAACTTGCGGGCACGTCTCCGTGTGGACTAGGAATAGGTTTTAAAAAAATGAAAAGCTACTTTATCGGACCTGATAATCAGTATAGTCCCTAACGTGAGTTAGATACTATTCCGAGGAGAATGGATTCAGGTAGGTCCAACTCATTTGAGACCTGAACTCGAGACTTTCGGGCTAGCAGTCGTGCGTTCTACTGTCCGAAAATATTTTCCCTAATGGCTAGTTGTAGTAAAAAGTTTGACAGGAATTTACAGTCTATATAAAAACAAATCTACTATATCACAGTATAGTATCTGGTATATCACAGCGTTATGTAGTGTCCCGCCTGTCCTATGCTTGTCCTATCATCAAAAGTTGTTTCATATCTTAATTTGATTATTGTTTTGAAATTTAGGCCAATAAGGTTGTGTGTGAAGTTCAGGCTAAAAACACCTATATAATCATTTCGATTTTTTTTTTACATTTGATAAGATGGGTGGGAAGGCGTAAAATTATATTTCGCCGACTGCTAAATAATCAAACAATATTCACTAACAAAACTCTTCCTTGAATTCTTTATTCTAGTAGAACCGCAAATTCCGATTCTACAAATAAAGTTTATTAAACGGTTTTAGTTGTTGTTTTTTTTTTAATTCAGTTGATCGCAATATTTTTTTCTTGTAAATTATCGTCTGCATAGATATTTAAAAAAACAACTGACGTTAACAAAATTGTTATTGTTTTAAATATAGCGCCGCAGATTTAGAAAATAAACAGAGTAGTTAATTATTTCCATCCTTCGTATTTTAACGACCACTACAACAGCTGCCAAAATTTAGCTCAAAAACCAAAATCAACTGTTTTGTTCGGTGTTTAATATAGCCGTGTCTATCAAACCCCGGCAGGAGAGGTGGATACACATTGGCCGGCACAGCTTGTTATTGCAACTGACCCCTGTCTGTTCGCGTCTGCTCCCCGTAAGTCGTCTGACCTACACGCGTGGGCACTGGTCAATGTGTTATTAGTTCAACTAGCCCAGCAGGCTTGCGTCGACCTGCTCTCGCTAACAGCCCCTTCTCCTCCCGCTACATTGTGGTCGAGTTGCTAGACAAACACGCGCATACAGCGCTCAGTTCTGACAGACGGATCTATTTGAACCAATCTTCAACAGATTTCTCTTAGCATATGCCAGGTGCTCGTCTAGTTAACTTGCAATACCGCGGCGAATGTTTAAAAAATGGAAGCGGAAAAAATAAACGAAGATATAAAAAATAATACTAAAAAAAAAGATGGCGTGTATAGGTTGGTGTATGGGTGGGATAGCGGAGGGAAAGAAAACTAACGAACTATAGTAAAAAAAAAACTAACTATAAACAAACGTGAACGATTACTATAAATAAAATAAGGAACTAACACCAATTAGTATTGAAAACCAAAGTAATTTGAGCCGATCTTGAAGAGAATTTTGTTTGAAAGTAGGCCTGCGTTATGTTCGCCTTGTTACTTGTACCTATCGCAACGTGTATTTCAACAGGCTGTCATTGATTGTAAGAATATAAATAGACATAAAATTAAACACATGGTTATGTGTTAGATTAGCATACATTATACGGGAACCGTAAATGAGCTTTATGACATTTTTAAGACTTTTACCAAAGGAGAATTTAGGAATACACATTAAAATTGCCAAAACAATTTTAAAATACCTTCATTTTGACATTTTTTGATACAGTAGGAATTGTTTTAATTTGTTTTTTTCCGGATTAAAACTTGAAACTCAACTCATTCACGAAATCTCAAATTCAAAAGGCGCTTTAAAATATTTACATATTAAATCCGTTTAAAAGATAATCATTTACAGAGAAGTTATTGAAAATACAGAACCAACTAGTTTTTTAAAAATTATTGGTGGTATTGTAAATATAAAGATTTATTTCATTAGTTATAGATCTACAATCGAAAGACCAAAGAGAGGATCTTGCAACAGAAATTAACTTTACACAGCTGATGTTTTTACTATTTTTTTATTTATTAAGACTGAATTTGTGGTCCGTCTATTTAATTTCTAACAATAAATGGATATAAAATACACGGGAAAAAGGATAAACCATTGCGCTTACATTTAAGTTCTTTCTTACGTAACTAACAAATAACAAAATTGTTACAAATTATTTACATATTATCTTATTGAACTCCGACATAAAATTGAAAACATTTAACAAAAACAACGTATCTAAACAGACTTAATTTTTTTTTTATAAAGTGGTATAAGGTATAGGCCTACTTCTCCGTTTTTTTTTTTTTTTTTTTTTTTTTTTTGTTTTTGTGTGTGTGTGTGTGTGTGTAAAACCTAACAACAACCAAACACAAAACGGCTGTGTACTGTGTACAGTTATTAAAAACTCAGAATACAATTGTAATTTTAATACAAATAATTTTAAATAGTTATTATTGATTCAAAATTATTTAATATCACTAAAACCCTATTTTTGGCAGCCGGTCAATTTGCCGTCACCAAAAGAACATTTTATCGTCCTACTTAAAACACTCAACTAAGTTTTCACAATTTATATTTGTAAAAAACGGTGTTAAAATTTCGACTGGTTTAGCTTTTTTGGTTTCCATTGAAAAGCTGTGGTAATGTTAAATTTAATTTAAGAAACATTGTTTTTCAATTAAAAAAAAAAAGATTATTTTACGAATCATTTAGAAAAGATTTCTTTAATACATCATTGTGATATTTCGTTTTTGATATTAACGAGCGAAAATGCGTTGTTGCCCGCAAAAAAAATTCTGTGGATGTTCATAACCACTGCCACACTTTGTCACAGCAAGCGCCCCCCTCCTTCCTTAAATAACTTGGCACAAATAAGCCCCCCCCCCCCTCCCCCATACAAATACTTCACTAATCTTTGACCTAAGTATATGACTTTTTAAAAAAGTTTACTCTGGAATTGGCTATCTGCCATATGGCAGACATGAAAACGTGCGTTTTGGAAAGATAGAAAACAAAATATCAAGCATTTGTGGGAATATCCACTGTAAAAAAAATTCAGGAATTTTGTTATATATTGTTATTTCATAAAACTACAAAATTGCACTGTCTATTGTACGTGAAACCCGACCCTCATGGCCATTTCGTCACTAAATCACCCCATTCTTTTCATCTGTATTTTGTGGTTTAATATTATTTATTACTTTATGTAAGAAATTTAAGTTAAGTATATATGTTCTATATAAATTCGATTTCGTTCGGGGAGGGGGGCGGTGGGTGGGCGGTAGAGAGATGCCTGGAAGTAACTGATTCAGGCTGTGTGTCGCACATATGGTAAGGCGGTGTCTCGAGGATGTTTCAACATTCAGGCGGTGTGTCGCACATATTTCAACATTCAAGCGGTGTGTCGCACATGTTGTAAGGTGGTGTGTCCCACACGTTTTCCCAACACCCCGATGTGTTCTCCCACTCTCGTTAAACCATCACCCACCAGAGCCAGACACTAATCTCCCAAAAAACTACCCGGGAAGATTTGACCGGCTTCAGCCGCCTAATTTCTCCTTAGAGGGCTTCAGTGTGTCGTCGGTGTGTCCAATCTTGTCTTTTAAAATCAATGAACTGATTTGATCAAAATTTCACGCCTTCCTACGACTTCGACCTCTGAACATGAGCAGACAGAAGAGATAAAATAAGAGTGGGTCTATTTCTAATTTAAAAGGAAGAGATATCATCACAAATATGGCAACATAAAAATTGTGTTGTGAATATTAACAAGTTTACAGGATCGCAAGTTAATAGATCAATTAACGTTTTAGCGAATAGTTTTCGTGAGAATAACCAAAAATTTGAATTATACGTTGAATGTATTTTAACTATATCATTTCGTGTGTTTATGTACTCAAGTTTAAGTACAAGGTTTATATAGCCCAGGTATATGTTTTTTTTTTAAAATGAAGACTAGAACATGCTGAGGTCTAACCACTGTTTATATACACGGAGTATACTTTATAGTATTGTGATATTACCGGTGATCAATTACTAGGCAGCTCGCTAGATGCAAACTATCGTTGCTAAACTACATCCATGAATGCTATTCAGTATAATCGCCATTTTTAGCACAGACGTGTAGTTTGTTATGCTCTTATGTTTATCAATATATTCCCGATGTTTGTTGTTTTTTTCCCGCTGGTCCCGAGGCTGAAGAAAAGACCCGTGTTGGTTTTTGTTTATAGAAGTAGTGCTACTGTGTTAACTAGGGTAAAGTTTAGGTTTGGGTTTGGCGTTTTGTTATGTTTGGTAGATTCTTATTCTCACATTAAACTGGACGGTTCCATTTTTAAATACGAAAAAATAATATTACAGGAGATTTTTAAGAGCACTACATTTATAATTAGTTTCCATGATATCTACATGTAGACTTAAGCTTATTAAATTTATAAAATTTATAAAATGGGAAACACGACTAAAAAAAATAAAGTTTGACGCGAGAAACGCGAGTTATAAAGCAATTTAATTTTGGCGAGACTCATTAAAAATTTAATTATTTAAAAAAAAAATTACATTGACTACATCAACCGTATTTTAAAGCGCTAATTAATCCATGTTTATTTTACCTGACACTGCTCTCTGTTTGGCGTGGCGATTCAGCTCCAGATGTAGATACTGTATACAAACATTTGTTTTAAAAATATGTTTTTTTTTATATTTTGGTTTTATAATCCAATTAAATTTTCTTATGCTTTAAAATTCTATTTAATATTCTTTTTATTGTTTAAAAATATATTCTTTTCTTCTTCTTGCATAAATTAAAAAAATGTATTTACACTTTTTATGTTTTAAATGGATTTGATTACTTGTGTTATTTCCGTTTAGTTTTGATTTTAAACTGATGTTTCTACTCTATCCCCAGAGAATACCCTCCACCTAAAGGACCCCACGACATTGCCGACGCCTTGTTGTCACTGAAGCACGCAGTTGTCCACCCAGACCTTCGGGGCCCGTTATCTCCCCTATCGCCCCCACCCCCGCCCCAATCCATGTCCCACTTTGGCACGCCTCATTACTCGGGCCAGCACATGTCCAACTACAGCCTGCCCTCGCCCGGGCCCTACTCCCACGGGCACTACCCCCACGCCCACCCGTCGTCCCAGAGCTTGTCCTATTCAATGAACCACAACCCAGCTTCCATGCAGAACTCGTACGGAGCCCAACCTTTGGGCCCGCCACCACACCACCAGTACCCCCAGTACGACCAGTGTCCCAGCCCAACACTGCAACATCCCATGCAGACAGCCAACGTTCACTTCCCGTCTATGAGCGTCAACGTTTCCATGAGCATGAACGTCGGGATGCCGGCTAATCTTAACCTCGGCCCACCAGGCCCGGGGCAGTACAACTGCGGGAACAACCCCGGGGGTGGGGTCTCCCAGAACTGGTCTATACCACCACCCAGCCCTACTCTCCCACCGCAGAACACCGCCGCACTCTCCCAGTACCACACCTCAGCGACATCAAGTTTACAAACCCACTGCAACGGTTACACTGGTCAGTCCCACGCGTTCTCCCACTTCAACCCCGACTACAGATCTGTTCCGCCCGACCCACGGGCAAGCGTCTACTACAAACCCGTGCCGGAAAACTTCAAGGAGAGCAAGTTCTGCCAGATGAACCACCACCATCACCACCACCATGAGCATGTCCTCAAGCGGAGCAGATTCAGCGCAGACCGCTCCGTTCCTTCAGCTCCAGGTCTAGACGGAAGCCTCGTTAAAACAAACCTCTGCCGGATCTGTGGAAAAACTTACGCTAGACCCAGCACGCTCAAGACCCACCTGAGAACTCACTCAGGTGAAAAACCGTATAAGTGCAGCACGTGTAGTAAATCCTTCTCCCAGGCGGCCAACTTAACCGCGCATCTAAGAACTCACTCGGGAGAAAAACCTTTCCGCTGTCCAGTATGTGAACGCCGTTTTTCTCAAAGTTCTTCCGTGACCACGCACATGCGCACGCACTCAGGCGAAAGGCCGTACCGCTGCCGGATGTGCAAGAAAGCGTTCTCCGACAGCTCCACGCTGACCAAGCACCTCCGGATCCACAGCGGGGAGAAGCCGTACCAGTGCAAGTTGTGTCTGCTGCGCTTCTCCCAGTCCGGCAATCTCAACCGGCACATGAGGGTACATTCCAGTACCAGTTAACTCTTACATCACCGGAGCCGCGTAACAGTGAACCCCTGCGATGTTTGAGCACCAAACAGCACTTTAAAAACCTGTATGTTTACTCTTTCACTGCCAAATAAAAGTTTTCAGTCCGAGTTAATTCTCATTAAACAGATTCGGATAACAGCCCCTGGAGGGTCAACAGACGGTGGGGCTACTATACTCGATGACTCATACAAATCAGTATGGACAGTTAACCCTTGCACGGCATGTGAACACTAAATAGTGCTATAAAAACCTACGTCATGTTAACCCTTTCAGTTTCAAATAAATAGTTTTAAGTCTGAGATCTTACAAAAAAAGTAGACTATAACTGTTACCCCTCTACGGCAAACACGGGGTCTTGATTAAGCATTGACTCGTTCAACCCCGTATGCCATTAACCATTGCTCCACCAACACAAACTGGGTCTTCCGTGGGATAACTACGTCAGGAGAATTACGTCACTGCACACCTTATCAGCCGAACACCTTTCGGTGAGGTCTTACAAGCCACAAACATGTCATACCTGTTATTTAGCTGAATCGCCAAGGTCAAGGTAACTGAAGGTCAGGTGTCGGTGGTGCTAAATATAGACCAAGATTTATTTACGATATAATTTTAGCTGACTTTTGAGCGTAGTAGGAATCGTATTGACATAAGTATTCTCTCCTTAATTAACTAGGAGAGGGTGGGTGTACACGTTTGGCAACGATAAGTCGTTGAGGAAAAGTTTTGTGTCATAAATCTCAAGATTCGGGCGTTGTGTTCAAGTTTTCTTTGTGGATGTAGTGCGTTTTTAAATGTTAATGTTTTAAAACTGTTATAACCAACTAAATGGTTTGTGTAGCGACCGCGTTCACATTCTATCGCAGTGACATCTCCATTAGTTAGAGGCCTTACATTTGTTCGCTACCGACCAATAGACCAACTGGACCATGTAAACACTGTCATCAGTAGCCAGTATTATGTATTCATCAGTGCGTTGTGTAATCACAGCCGTAACTGTCTCGCTATAAAGTAAAATGTCATCTGTTTTGTTCTGGATTTAACCTCTAGGTCGCCCTTCATAACATGTCAACAATCCAACAGTGTGTCTACTTGTTTACGTTGTGTTATGATGTGTTTGTGTTCTTTATGAAACAAACAAAAATGGATTGCGTTTATATTTTTAAACTTTAAACCTATTTTAGAAAAAAAAATTAAGCTACTATTTTATTCCAGAAGCGGACGCTTTATAATTACTTAGTAAAATCAAAAAATTTTGTTTTCTTTATATAATGATTTTTAAATGTAATGTTTTAAAATTGCGAAGTTTTAATCAGGGTCCATATGCGAACATTCCAGATATGCTATTTTGGGAAAGTGTTCAATTTTATTCCTAAATTTATTGCATAATTAGATTACTATTCTGTTTTCAAATATGTATTTGTACAAGGCAAAGGAAAAACAAGAGGTAGATTTTTGTAAATAGTTTTAAAATAACCTTGCAAGATTTGGCATAATACTTTTATTTTAAACATCAAGCAGGGGCGTAGAGAGGGGGGGGGGGGGCGGGGGGTGCGGACCGCACCGGGTGACACCATTCAGGTGGGTGACACCAGGGCAAAAAATAGCAAAATATATAGAGAAAAACTTGAGGGGGGGGGGGGTGCAAATCGAAAACTTGAGGGAGGGGGCAAATCGAAAGTTTGAGGGGGAGGGGGTGCAAATCGAAAATTTGTCCCCGAGAAGGGTCGCTACGCCTCTGGGGGGTGACACCATTAAGTGCCGCACCGGGTGACACCCGACCTCGCTACGCCACTGACATCAAGTACATGTTTGCAGCTAAATATGAAAATAAAAATATGAAAATAAATAATTTTGTTGTTTGTTTGCCTTAAAGTTTAAATTATTTTTAAAAAATGTCTTCCACATTACAAAACATTCATAGCATTTAAATAACCTAGATTTTTATAAGTGGCTCTGATTTAATTTTATAGTTGTTAATTAAAAATCAATTCAATGCTCTATTTATTTATTTATTTTTTGTTGAGAATTTCATTTTCAATGCTCGATTTATTTATTTATTTTTTGTTGAGAATTTCATTTTCATTGTAAGTAATTTTTACAATTCCAAGGAGTTTAATTTAGGTTACGGCCAAGTCCTGGTCACTTAAATATTTACGTTTACTTGGACTTAGGTAAATAGAGAATCGATATCCGAAGCGAGTGACCAATATAGATATCGGTATGGTAACTAATGGTAAGTTTGTTTTGGTCTGGTATCTGTTAGCAAAAAGGATTAGGGTCAGGTAAGCTGATGCTAGTAATCAGTGCCGGCGCCAGGTTATTTAGCGCCCTAGGCAAAACTTATTAAAACGCCCCCTTTCACACAAATTAATTACTAAAACAGATGTATAAGAAAACAATTAATTAAAATTGACATATTAATTTATTATCAATTGCATACACGTTGTAAGTAGACAACAATATCAAATTTGACTTGCCTCCTTCGTCTCAAAAGTTTGTACTAATTCCTTCAATTCCAGTTTGCAAGCGTAATCACATTTTATTGAAATTGTTTCTAAGTCCATGAGTCTACTTTACGACATAGTCCTTCCCCCCCCCCCCCCCCCCCTTTAGAAAATGTTAAGTGCTTTAAGCTTGACTTTCTCAAGTTATAATTGTAAAATGTCTATATTGTGTGATTATGTAACGATTTCTTTTGTTTTAGAAAAATAAAAGGTTATAAATGTTATAGATTCCAGCCTAAAATTGTTATATATGAATCATATAGGAGAGGGTGAAAAATATGAAAAGACTAGATGTTTAATTTACAACTAAGACTGTAAGTCTACTAACATTAAGTATTGCAATCTACAACGGCTACTAATGTATTTGTTTTTCATCTTGATAATGCTAAATAAACTACCAAACTATTTTGTTTTGAACGTAAGCTGTATATAATTTTTACAATAGCAAATAATAACTTAAAGTTGTATTTATATATAAGCAGTCAACCTAAGGTTGAGGAATTTGAAATGAATGTAACGTTAAGCAACGAATTATCTCCCATTTGAAAATCCAAATACCAAAATTTCATTCAAGGGAAATAACTTTCACAAGAATAGTTAAAATTACCAAGTGTAATTTAGACATGCTTGAAAAACACAATAAAACTCTCTAAATTTTAATACGTAATAATTATAGCAAATCTTTTATATAAGCTATGTAACCTTGTGAAAACAATATATTTTACATATTGAATACTTAACTGTAGGTTTTGTTTGAAAGTCTAAAAACGGTAGCTTTAATATAAAATACTTCTATTCAACTTTGACGACACACTGAAAATGCGACGTAGAGAAATAAAAACTGTTTAAAATTTTGGATCCCGTGAATACAGGGACACCTTTCTAAAAAAAAAAAAGTCAAACACGGTTAACTGTTTTAGACATTGCTAGAATTGTTGACAAAATATTTTTTAAAATTATAATTTGATAAAAAAAAACGTTTACCGTTAGTTATAAATTCCATCCTATTTAATATTATATATTAATACTTTAAGAGTGGTAATATAGATTCCTAAAAAACTAAAGATTTTTCAACTAGAAAACGCATATCTTCCTGTGTAGTGTGTTCCGTACTGAATTGAAATAATCTAACTTTCGATAAACTCGACTACTCGATATATTCTACTACATTCACAACACATATCAAACTTCGATACCGAAACATAACTAGAATCGATGCTCCAGAACTACGACACCAACTCGCTTAACTTCACCAAGCTCTACAAACGGTACTCCCAATCAACAACGATTTCACTGGACCTACTACTACAATTTGGACAGTCAATATAATTCGATATCAGCAAGAATCAATACTCCCGAACTCCAGAACTACGATACTTGATCACCTGCATTCTTATTTCTCTATTACCAATCAGATTGGACTAGGCCAGGGGTCGGCAACCTGCGGCTCGCGAGCCGCATGCGGCTCTTTTGATATCAAGATGCGGCTCTCCAGCTCCTTGAACAAATACTAATAATCTTAATAAAAAAATAAAATATTTGAAATAAAAAAAATGTTAGTGGCTCTTTAAAACCAGGGAAATTTCGAAAATTGTAACTTTTGGCTCCTCCGCTTCAAAAGGTTGCCGACCCCTGGACTAGGCCTACAACTACAAAAACAGCCGAATAAAAATTATGAAACTTTAACACTTCGATACCTTATACCTACGAAACCATATCAGCAATAGTCTTCCGCCGTTACTCCCAAATCTAAACGATTTATCAAAACTTACCAAACAAGTGGCTATACTTTGAACACCCCGTCATTACAAAAACACCAGGACATATTTCTAATTCAAAGTCAGAGAAAACGAGACTTACAAGCCCTATTAAAATTAGATAACTGTTTGAAATGTTCGAAATTTAAATTACGAACTTATTTAATAGTTTTCTACATCAATTATGTGACACCAAATTAAAAAGGCAATGTGACTGGTAAAAAGCGCCCCGACTTTTTCCAAATTAAGTAGGTGGGGTTGCATTTTCACCATCGCGAATAAATATAGGCCTATATAGACCTAATTGGGGGGGGGGGGGGGGGGTGCAAAATTTAAAGTTCGTCTTGGGTGCCGAAATAGATCGCTACTCCTTTATAAAAGTTATTAATTATTAGGTACTTTTTGATAATAGTGATTAAACATTTTGCGCCCCCCCCCACCCTAAGGGATGGCTCCCTAGGCAATCACCTAGTTCGCCTCATAGGTAGCGCCGGCCCTGTCTACGCAACAGTATGTTTTAGTTACTGTAGAACAATCTCTGCTGCAATCGATTAGTTTTGTGTTTTTACAAAACCCCTAATCTATCAAGGTGCAAAAAAATATAATTTTTTTTGTCGGATTTTGTTCCCTCCCCTGCGTTATGCGCCGACCCAAAAAGGGCGCAAACGTGATAGGTAATAATTTTTAAAAACTCATTGCTGAATTGTATACAGTCGAAATATAGAAT